AAAAAATACTTGAGGACAAAAAGAAATTCAAGTAAGAATTAAAAAAAAAATAATACAGGCAGTCCCCGAGTTACGCAGATCCGACTTATGTCGGATCCGCAGTTACGAACGGGGCTTTTCTCGCCCCAGAGGACGGGAGCGGCGGGACGCCCAGATGAGCCGCGGTCCCGCCGCCCGCGTCCTCCGGGGTGAGAAAAGCTGCTCCCCATCTCCCTGGTCTACTGGTCTCCAGCAGACCAGGGAGACGTGGAGCAAACCCTGTTCATAACTGTGGATCCAACCTAAGTCGAATCCGCGTAACTCGGGGACTGCCTGTACTGGACTGTCTGGTTCAAAACCAGATGCTGGCAACCCTAGGAGGCGGTATAGTATTGGCTAGGCTAGAGAGTAGCAAAGACCACAAGCTAGCTTCCAGGAAGAAGAACTGAGGGTACATGGCAGAGTAGAGGAAGGTTTTATGGAAGAAAAAGGATCCAAGACTGGAGGTGGTATTAGAGTGAGAGTGTTACTTGCCCTTGAACTCTGAAGGATCAGCAGGGACCTTGTAGAGAGTGAAGTGTGAGACTCTTAAAGAGAGGGCTGTGACCCAGTGAGAAGTCTGGGAGAAAGTTTTGTAGTTTACCCTAAAAGGGATGGCATTTTGACTTTGCTGGAGGGCTGAACTACACAGCCAGTGAGAGGAAATTTGAGGCCACAGTCACATTTCACTGTTCTTAAGTTGAATCTGTATGTAAGTCAGAACTGGCATCCAGATTCAGCCGCTGTTGAAACTGATTAGTTTCAGCAGTGGCTGAATCTGGGCGCCAGTTCCGACTTACATACAGATTCAACTTAAGAACAAACCTACAGTCCCTATCTTGTACGTAACCCGGGGACTGCCTGTAATGTAAGGTTCTCATCAGGGGTCAGACAATACTAGAGATGTTAAATGTCAGTTAACTGAATAGTCGATTAACCTCATGAATTCTTATTGGTTACTCAACTATTCTGTAGTCCCCCAGGGTGGGGCCGGCAGCCAGTGTAATCCAGCCCCACTCCCAAGGAGCCCCCTGCCACTCCGCGCTGCTGCCTCTGCCTCAGGTGTGCCAGGTGGAAGTTGGTCCACGAGGGGAGCCAGTTTAAAAGCCAGCTTCCCCTGCGGACCGGCTGCCTGTCGCCCTGAACTCAGCATGGGGTGGCAGCAACCTGTCAAGGAGGGGTCTGAGCTCCCAGACCGAGCATGAGCCAGGCTGCTGACCAGCCTGCTAAAAAATTTACTGGCACGGGGGCGGGAGGAAGGGAATCTATAGCATTTAAGTGATTAACCGATTAGCAAAAGCTTCTAGGTTAATCAATCAACCACATTATTACATCCCTAGACAATACACTTCTACTCAGACTGCAAAAATTAATTAACAGAGTCTCAACTCTCTCACCTCCTCAAACCCTGGGAGATCCAAATTTAGCAGGAGAGACCTAGCTCTGATTTTCTAGGACTCATCTTATGACTTGGAACCCTTAGCCAATGTACTACCTTGCCAAACAAGAACAAGATTTCAGTCTGTTAACCTGCCCCATCACCTTTGTGAATGGCTGGCTGGTGGATGGACTGCAGCTAGTGGAAAGGAAGCATAATAATAATCTGAGACACTCAAGTGATAGCATTGAGACCATGGGCATGCAGTAGCCTAGACAGGGGAAGGCTTTGTCTTCCCAAACCACCACGCATGGCCCCATCCACACTCTACCTATAGCAGGCATTCTGGGGGTGTTCTGGGGGCAGAGTGTTGTGGCCCCTAGCGCCTGCCTTCCCTGATGCTCTGAGGCCTGGGGAGTCGAGAGCTCTGCAGCCTCCTTCCTCTCTGGAGCTCCGGGGGTCAGGCAGGTGAGTGCCCTCTCCCAACTCTTCACCTTCCCATGGTGTGGGGGTGGGAGGTGTGCTCGGTGTACTGCCCTGCCTCCTACCCTAGCAGTGGGGGGGCTGAGGGCCTTTCTCCACCAGCAGCACTGACTGACCATGACTGAAACAAGCGTGGGCTTGGGAGCATTTTTACAGAACTTTTAGATCTCCCCCTACCACCACCTCTTCAAAACAAAATAAACTGTGCAAGTGAATTTAGAGCTTAGAACAGGAGCTGGCTGGACAGCTTTGGAGTCTGAAGTCTCAACTTTAGACAGAAAACTGGCAATAGAAGGAGAACAGCCAGACAAGCCACCCCATGTGCTTCAACCCAGAGTGAAAGGACCCACTCTAAGAGTGGAGAGGAGCATGCTCTGAGTGGCCTTTCTGCTCAACTGCTAACAACAGTGCCCCAGGCACTACCAATTGTTATGATGTACACGAGATGTGGACTGAGCCAACAAATTTATTTCACCCAGGCCTCCCAACAGCCATCAGATGGTAGGATCTCTCAGCTAATCAAGAGTAGTAACTAGTGGGAGCTGGATACAACTCAGAGGCTTTTTTAAAATATCTTATTACCCATTCCCCATGAATCATCCAGTCTTCTCTTTATGGAACTATAGGAGGAGGTTTAAAAGTTAGGCGGCTGAAAGGCAATTACAAGGAAGACTGCAGCAAGGAGAAAGCTTCCCAACCCGGGCAGATGAACTTGAGCTAGCAGGACTTGCGTTAGCACACTTAATCCTAGTGTAGGTGCAGCAGCATGGGCTGGAGTTTGGGATCTCCTGCCCACGCAACTCCCTAAGCTCCTAGCTGCAGTAGAGATGTGTCCAAAGGAGACAGCAATTCTTAAGTTCATCCTTTCAGCTGGTAACAGAACAAGTAAATCTGAAGTGAAGTGAACAAAGAGGAAGCAGCACGGCTGTGTATTTTTTCCTCTTTCTATTTTGGTATTTAGAAAATTAACACCATGGCTTTAAAAACTCTCACACTTCAAAACAGAACAGCACTTTTCCTGGGACTGCAGGAAAACAACTATCAAGGCTGTAAGGGAGTCCTAAAATTAAATCTAACAGCTGTGTTTCGGTTTGTCAGGGCACACTACCCCAGCATACTACTGAATTATACAAGAATTTCTCACTTCCAAGAGCAAGAGGCTTACACCTGTGGATCGCCTCCCTAGGCATCAGAATGGAGGAGACAGACACAGTGCAGGAGGGGATGACAGGATGGCAAACAAGTTGTTCCAAGCAATGCTACATTCTTCAAGAGCTCCTTGCCGAAGTCAAATTTTATTCCACAGTTTCCATGGGTTTCTCCTCCCCACCCTCCCATTGGCACCATCATTATAACGGATTGGTGGCTAGTGACTTTTCTCCACATCCTCACATCCCAATGCCCCAGCACTGCTGCTGTGCATCTCTCTCACCATCTCTCTTCCCCACATATTTTCCTACCTCCTTTCCACATTCTGTCTTGATTCTTGCCCTGTCTCCCCATCTTACCCAGAATGGTGGGAAGTGAGAGAGAAAGAAGCAGTCCATTGATAATTCCCTGTGGCCAACCCATAGCTGCCTCCTCATACTAAAGAAGTAGAGAAAGAAAGAAACCTTGGTCGGGCTGATTCTTTTCTCTGCTTCTTTGGAATCAAACCAGCAGCAGTCAAGGTTGAAAACCTAAGGAAGGCTTTCCTACCATAGGCATGATCTAAGCTGGTGATGAATACTAGTGGTGGTGAAACCAGACAGTGGTGAAACTTCAAGAACATGTAGCAGGGACACTAATTGACTTTCTCTCTTCCCCCACCTCCCATTCCCTATTTATTTAGAAATTGGACCTCTAATAACTCCATTCATTTGAAGAAATGGGTATCATGAGTTTTCATGGGCACAACCATCTACATGTTTTGTTAGTTTTTAAGGTGATGCAGGTATCCACAACTCATTTTTGTAGACACAGATACAAATTTTTGTATCCATACAGGGTTCTTCTCATGGGGCTGTTTACATCATGGAATTTGCAGATCAGCTGTGATCCCAACGTGTTTAAAAATTTGGGAAAATAATAATTTCTGGAAAGGGAAGAATACATAAGGCACAACAAACCATCCCCTCAGAATGAGGCATAGAAATGCTAGAAGACAAAACCTCCAGAGGGATCTTTAATAGGGTATACACAGCATACAGTCTGTGAGCCAACAGAGGGCAAGTTTTACTGATAAAACTTTGCAGCATGAATCAGGCCTGCGTTTGCATCAATGACTATGCTTCCAACAAGCAACCTACTGATGGGTCCAAATGAAACTTCCACAATGGGACACTGCAGAAGTTGAGATCTGGTTTATATTTGGTTGTAAGCAGCAATACATAACAAAGAATGTGGCTATGTCCGTTTCCTGGCTGCATTGAAGAGATAAAAAGGATAGAGGGCCTTACTCTCTTGGGGTTCTGACCAAATTCAAAAGCAACTTCCCTGCCATCAATGGAATTACTCCTGAATCAACTCCTGAGAGACGAGACTCAACCCCACAATACCAAGAATGAGTAGATGACTGTAAGGGGGAAATTAACCTCTTCACTGACAAAAGAACAAAGCACAGGTTGTTTGTGCCTTCCTTATTCAGGCACATGGGCCAGTTCAGTTTCCAACACAGAATACTGGAGTCCTGTGATTAGCTGATTTTACATTCCCCAATACCATAGTCCCAAAGGAACTTGTGGCAATGGGGAACTGCTGAAGTACAGGACTGGCGGAGGCAGCAATCTGTGGCCTGTCTCTTGCAGGGAGAGGGGGGGAAACATAAGATTCTCCTATCCACCTGCTGGAACATCCCTTTGCACTGACACAACTGCACCTAGCAGCCCCAGGGCAACAGCGTGTGGCCCACCATCCCCACACAAACATGCTGGCAAGGGCCATACAAGACCCTAACACTGACCCACTGCCTAAAGGAGCCCTGGAAAGGGAGGGCCTCGCCTCTTTGTTCAGTTTCCCCAGGTGTTCAAGGAGTTCCCGCTCCCATGCTGCAACCCTGAGAGGAACCGGTCCCAGGGCGGTCAGCAGCCGGGGGAGGCAGCAGGAGCCCTGCCCCTGCTGGGAAGGTGCAAGAGGCGCTTACCCTCATGGCCTGGTAGGCTTCGTCCAGGGTGATGAGCTGGTGCTGCTTGTGGGTGCCGGTGACGGCGCACAGCACGCAGATGATCTTCTCGTGCTCCTTGCAGTACAGGCTCAGCTCCTGCCCGTGCTCCTCGCACTTCTTCCGCTCCAGCTTGGGCGCCTCTTCCCCCGCCGGCCCGCTCTCCTCCGCCTCCTCTTCGGCGCGGCCGGCGGCAGCAGGGCCCTGCAGGCGGTGGGCCGGGTGCTTCTGGGCGTGCTCCGCCGCGTGGGGCTGGCAGAAAGAGAAACCCCCCTCCCCGCACAGCCCCACCGCGCTCTTGGCTTCATCGGGCTCGCACACATCGCACGTGCCATCGGGGGGAAGCTCCTCGGCGCGCTCCCTCCCCGGGGCGGCCATGGCGAGCCTCCTCCGGGGGCGGCCTGACTGGTGCTGCAGCCCCCTTCCCCTCCTGGCGGCTGCTCGCGGGCTGGTTCGCTGCTGCCTCCCCGCTCCCGGCGCAGGCCTCCAGCTGCTGCCGGCCCAGAGACACTGGAACGGCCCCGTTGCTCTGCGGCCTCCTCGCCAGCCACAATCCTTCTATTTCTGGCCGAGCGGATCCCCTTTCGCCTCCCACCCTCTGAGCAGCTGGGGCTTAACTCACCCAACTGACCTCGTCCCCCCGGTAGTTTTGATGGGGGGTGAGCAGGCCGCCCAGCTGCCCCCAAAGCAAGCAGCAGGCCACACTATACAGAAGCAGCTACTTTCACTTTTAAAGTTCAGGCCATCCTGGTTTTTACTTCCTGAGTCATTTAAAGTGGCAATGGCCTTTTTTTCCTGCCTTCCCTGCTCAGGGCTGCTCCTGCTTTAAAACTACAGGAAACATCAGATTGGCCAGAGCATGCTGATTTGAAGGGGAAATACCCTCCTCTGGGATCAATCCTAAGGCAGTTTTTTTTTTTTAGTCTCCTTGTTATGATGAAAAATGGGTGCATATGTTCCAGTGAAACAAAGTGGGTGAGAGACTATCTTTTATAAGGCCAACTTTTGTCAGAGAGAGAGACAAGCTTACTTAGAGCTTTTTCAGGTATGGGAGCAACACTCAACAAACTGAGTAACTCCTTCCAATGTTAAATTAGTCTTAAAAAAATCAAATCAAATCAAATAAAGGTTTTTTTTAATTTTCCTCTGGTCTCTGAAATGGAAGGTTGCACTGAGGATCACATTTTCAAATGTTTCTCAGCAACCCTGAGGCTTAACAAATACCGTTTTCTCTAGTCACATAGATTTAGATCCATGTTTCTTAAACTTTTTGACACCACAGAACACCAAACAATAATATTTTTTTATGTGGAACACCTATGAAAATTTTCTTTAAAAAAAAATTGTCAGACAAAAAAAGACAAAAACAAAAAAGAGGTCGTGGAACACCTGTGGGTTGTTCACGGAAGCAGAACACAGTTTAAGAAACACTGATCTAGATCCTAGGCTGTAAAAGAAACTTCAGATATTGTGAGACTTGCAATAAAATTGTGAGGGATGGCAATACCGTGAGTGTGTCTATACAACAGGGCTTAACTCAAAATAAGCCACACAAATTGAGCTACATCAATTGCATAGTTTATTTCAAAATTTAGAGCATCTGCACAGCACTTATTTCAAAATAGAGCACTTTTCCTCTGACTTCCCTTACTCCTCATACAATGAGAGTAACAGGAGTCAGAGTAAGAAGTCCTCCAGCTTGACAGTATTTCGACATTATTTCAAAATAGCTTCCTGCTGTGTAGACGCGGAGTAAGTTATTTTGAAATAACACTAGTTATTTTGAAATAACATTGCAGTGTAGACATACTCTAAGATTGTACCAGTGTCCTCAATAGTTTTTGCAAATCCGTTTTTTTCTTTTTCACGTTATTATAATAATATAACTGAACTCTGCGACTAGTTCACTTTGGGCTAGAGTCTGATCTCATTTACTCTGGAGGAAATACATGCGTTACCTCCAATTTACACTAGTGTATCTGAGTTCAGAATACAGCTTCATGTGTTCAGTACATAGTTCACTAAGGTATGTATGAGAATCCATTAACACCTATCTTGGGCTATCACCAGGGGAAGCTTTTTCTATTAAGTACGAACAAGGCCCGCTTACTCTGCACCTGCACCTTGTCTTACAGAACTTGTGTTAGCCCAGTCCCACGTGGCAGTTACTTTCCTTTGCTAAATGGATGCTAGTTTTTCTCCCATGCATAGAACCTTTTCATGTGATCAGTAAGCTCTTTCTTTGTTTTTGCATCACTCTAACTTTGTGTATGCTGATCAGTGAGGAAAACCTTTGCTTTTCCTGGAGAAGTAATGAAAGAAGTAAATTCAAGAAGGGGCAGGGGAGCTGTTAGTTGTATACACAGTCTAATGCAGATAATCCTGCACACAATATAGTAGGTATTTATATGCAGCTAGACTCTATGACCGATTTCATTTTACAAGGCATGCCCATGAGATCATCTAATCTGATCTCCTGCTGTTACTATATTAGCCAATATATTATCTTATTAGAGCTCATTGCGAAGAAATGTTATGTCCCCTTGCTGAATAAATCAAATATTGTGACTGAAAGAATCGCAGCTGTTGCTAATGTTCCATGCTTATGAAAAATGTAAACTGCTAGTTTCATCAGAAAACCTGTGGTTTGACCTCCTACACTGCCTATATAACCTGATCATAATCCATAAAATGTCATTTAATGAATTGTGTTAATTTTATTCACTTACCCGTATTGCAGGCACCCACCCACCCACAAAATTAATATAACAAGAGCAAAACTACTTTGAACCATAGACTTATTATTATGGAGCAAACTATTTCTTAATAGTGCTTTTTGTAAATTGTTACTGCAGTTTGCTTTGTTGTAAACAGTAACTTCTAACATGAAATATTAAGAAATATAATCATACATATTTATAAGCCTTTTATTATTTATCCAGAATGATTTGCAATACAGAAATGTTAATCCTTTTATCTTTAATCATGTAGTCATGTCCTCTAATTTTTGTCCCTTTATGATAGCTTTTCGTGGAGAGCAAAGATGATGTATTCTATGATGGCATAATCTACCAAGATGCACTTCTAAAGAGAAGCCTGGATAAAGTGTTCAGTAGTAGTTTTCTGTAGTGCTCTCTTTCATTACATTGAAATAAAGCTAACAGAACATTGTTAGTTGTATCAAATTTTTACTTGTGGGGATATTTGGTTTATTAATGCAGTATTCAAGCATTGCACTCAATAAGATCCACTCTGCCCTTTTTTAGGGCTAAAGGACTAGATCCACAAAGAGATTTATACAACAAAATGCTACATTTGACACCACAGTCTAAAATTTAGATCTTCAAGACCCCTGATCAGCTGCCCCCAATAATTCTGTAGATATCTAAGTTTCTGCTGGTTTAGTGTCTTAGGCTATGTCTAGACTGCAGGCTTCTTTTGGAAGAAGCTTTTCCGGAAGAGATCTTCACGAAAAATGTCTTCTGAAAGAAAGCATCCACACTGTAAAAGCACATCAAAAAAGTGATCTGCTTTTTCGAAAGATAGCATCCACACTGAATTGACCCTATCTCACATTTCAGCTATGATTACTATGGATGGAATGGACACCAGAGCACCTGTGCTTTTTCCTCTTTCCTCTTCTTTTGAAAGAATTCACTTTTCCCCGTACATACACACCTTTTTCTGAAAGAACTCATCCTTGTAGAATGAGGGTTACCAATGTCTGAAAAACCCCTCTGTTTTTTCCATTTTCTTTCCGAAGAATGTGATTACAGTGTGGACGTAAGTGAAGTTTTTTCAGAAAAACGGCCGTTTTTCCAAGTAAACTCTATAGTGTGACATACTCTTAGATGTTCACCACTGAGCATGTGCATAGCTGCCTCAGTCCTAACATCCAAATGTCTAAGCCTCAGCAGGATACTCAAACTAGGCATTCCCCCACCTGTCTCACCTGCAGAATCCAATCTGGTAGGCATTCTCATAAACTAGCTAACAGAACACAAGTGATGGTGCCTCCTCTTGAATCCTGGGAGACCCAAGTTCTACAGACACCTGAAATTGGGTCTCTTACATAACAGGTGAGTGCCCTAAGCACTGAAACATAGAGTCATTCTCACTCTTCATCTAGCCCAATGAGTATTTGGTTATTTATATGAAGTGGAACAGCTCCTGCAATTGAGAGAGTCCCTTCTTCCCTCCCGCTGCCCCTCCTCCTCCCCCCCGAACATTTCATAGTCCAATGCTTTCCTCAGATGTGGTTTAAATCCCTGTTCTGAATCATATCTTTGTCTTTCACACCTTGGATGAGGGATCAAACCACTGTGTCTCAAGATTAGAAATAAATAAAGGCCACAGCTCTTCCTCATTTTCTTTCCCTCAAAATAAATAAATAAATAAAATAAAAAGGCTGTGAGTCCCAAGCAGAGAGACGTGCCTTTTTCTGGTCAGAGTTGGGTATCTACATGATTTTTGGAGGGGGTAGGGCTTAGGCCACATCTTACTCCTCATCATTTCCTATCATGAAGCTTAGAAGGTTCCTTGCTCAGCATGCTGGTTTTTATAGATCCCGGTCTCTGGCGCTTAACTCTCTCCATGCGTTGTGTTGAGAATGTGAAGGCCTAACTGGGCACTGTAATTCCAGTAGGCAGTTGAGCACTTAATATCAAGCACTGCAAAACAGAGCTTACATCTCCTCTGTGGATCTAGTCCAAAATGGTTCAACTTTTGCTTGCTAGCAGAAAGCAAGCTGTTTTTTTAACCTGATGGGGATTTGAAGTGGGCTTCCATAGCAACAGGATTCACCAGTTTGCCTCAGTGCCTAAAAGAGTGAATTTGGCCAGGATTTATTCTCATGGGATCATTTGTAGCTAGAGACAGTCTCAAACCACAGCCATCTGGATCCAAAAGCAGATTTTCAATAGCCCAGTCTTTGAGGTGTTTGGAGCTGGAATTTTCATACAGCCTGTTACAAAAATTAGGCTAGCTAAAAAAAATGGAATCCAGATCTAGGTTTTGAGAAAGGAACAGTACATAATTGTCATGGCTTTGGGCAATTCCTAGCCTATTTACTTCCCTAGAAAAATAAGGCGTTAGTCCAAAGAACTTCAAGGCACCAATCCACAGGAGGAAAGCCAGCTTAACTCTCTAAGAATTCCCACTATGTAGATCCTGAATACGGCAGACTATCTTGGCCTAGGTCTACACTAGACAACGCAGGTCGGCTTAAGGTATGCCATCCAGCTATGCAAAATGTGTAGTTGAATTCGGTTTACATTAAGCTGAGCCACAGTAGTATCTACGCTTCCTTAATTCCTCGCAGAATGAGGAGTACAGGATGCCAGCGGGGCTGCCCCCCACGTTCAATTTGGGGGATCTACACTGGACCCGCTAAATCGAATGTTAGAAGATCAACCTCTGGAGGGTTGATCTTCTCCATAGTGTAGATGACTCCTTATAGTCCCTGGTGCAGGTGACATACCGGGGACATAGCTAATGAGAGTGTCTATGGCCACAGAGCCTCTGCTCTTTAGTGATTTTAGAATAAAATGTAATGATAATTTCCATCTACAAGGTTCACTTGAAACCACTGGAAATAATTGATAGGTAACTCAGGCCCAATAGAGCCATCTGACTGAGAGGAAGCAAGTTTTATTTGTAAGGAGTAATCCTAGACAATTATTCTCCTGCTGACAGGAAGGAAAATCCTTTTCAGTGTGCATTACCTCAGGTATTAAGAGAAAATTAGCAAACATCACACAGTTTATTAGAAAAAGTGCTGGAGGTGAAAAA